GAATGGTGCCACCAGAGTGATGGCCTGAACCTCAACAACAGACTCCCCCAAAGCATGTCGACCATCCTTGGGGGAAGACATCATCCCACCACCGCTGTGGCTGCCACCGAGAAACTATCTGGGCTCCCATCCTACACCAACGAGGATGATCGTGCTGAGGATCAAGTCTTACTGGGTTACAGCTCAGCCCCATCAGTCTCTGTAAAAGAAAGGCAATCCTGGTTCCCACCACCAGACACCAACTCACCTCCCTGCCTCCAAAGAAAGAGAGGAAAAGGCTGAGATTTGACCCCTGCTTCATTGCTGTCTTCAGTGAAGAGAAGAATCATAACTGCCTGTGGGAAATACCCAATGGAAGTAGAACTAATGGATAAAACTTAATAAAGACTATTTCAAAGAGAATCCACTGAAGATTTAGTCTCCTCTTCTAGTTACAAAGATTTTATATCCAAGATAAAAGCTGTTGCAAAAAAAAAAAAGAAATCTGAATTCTCTTTTTCTCTTTCTCTCTCAACATATATACTGTGTACTGTGGATATAAATACTCCTTCTCTGGCTTTTATCATGAATTCTTGGTTATGGCTACAACAAGGCCACCTTCTCATCTATCGCAGAAGTAAGGGTGATACAGTTTAGTGAAAACAGCCTAAAATTCCATACCCAAACTGTCCATAATGCATGTGGACAAAATGAAGACAATAACACATGCAATATAGCTGACACTCACTGTCAGACAGACCAGTACTCATCCCAACTCCACTCCCTTTTGCCACCCCCCACCCAACTATGAGGGGCGGGGCACATCGCATATGACCCAGCTTTAGCTAATGAGACATAAGGGGAAGTCTGCACTTGCTTTCCTAACAAGAGAGACAAATGTGATAGCTCTGCCCTGTCCCCACCTCATCCAGGCTCAACGTGGAAGAATGTACTGTAACCATCAAGATAAAACATCAGAGTGTAGAGATTAAAAACAGCCTGGGTCCCTAATGGTACTGCTGAATAATTAAATCATTTGCCTCAGAGATCTTAGCAAAAATGACAAACTGTTACTTGTTTAGAAAGCAATAGTGAGATTTTTCATTACTTTCAGCTAAAAGCAGTCCAAATGCAAACACTTAAAGCCTGAGAAAAATTACTCCCATACATCAGTTCTTAGGTTGTTATTTGACGATTTGCCCTAGCAGAACAAAGGAGAAAACTGAGAAAGAGACAGAGGTGGGATCTAGAAAACAGTGGATGCTTCCAGGAGAGTGATAAGGAGAAATCCCAGGATGACAGCTTTGGAGCAGGCCCGTTTAGAACAGCCGATTGAAGCAGGCAGTGGAGAGCTGGGAAAGAAGAAACTTTGGAAAGAGGCATATTCTGAGATTCAATACTACCCTTGCAAATTTAGGAACTGAGGAAATGTTAAAGATCTAATTCAATAAGAAAAGAGAAAATCTTCAGGAAAATCAAAGAAACAAAAACTGTTATAAAAATGGAAAGCATAGCACCCTATTTAGCCATTCAATGAACAATATTTACATGGTCATAATCAGGGAGTTGAAGTTTAATATTTGTCATATTTTAGAATCAACTCATACACAAAGCATGGGGACTTACTTATGGTCAGAGACTAGAGAATAATCATAAAAGTGCAGATGACAGAAGTTGGAAAGGTCCAGAGGTAAAAGAAAGTCCAAGGAAGCTAAGAACCTAAAGCCAGAGGATAGTACTGATTACTGACGAAACTAGAAATAAAAACGTCAGGGTATTATTTCAAATTGCAAAGGTTACAAAGTATAGGGAATCCAAATGTAGTGACACAACTAAATTGCAGTGGGGAAACAGGAGGGGGCAGTTAGTGACTCACCCTCTTCAATTTCGCTTTAGAATTCACAATTTAATAAAAACAACAAATATGACTTAAAACTATGTAACATGTCTCTTTACTATCAAAGTTCTATATAATTTCTCCAATTCTTTAAATAGAATTTACTAATGGCAACTCTGTTTTTGGTTTATACAGTAGCAGAAAGCCTGATAATCTAAAATTTATGAATCAAGCAGTAGTAGTATAAGCATATTATTTACATTTATAGAGATACTCATAGAGGAACTAGAAATACAAACAGTTAAAATAGGTTCCCTATAGTAGCAGAGTCTTGGCCAAGGAGGTGTGGGCCAGGGCATATTTCATTCATTATAAACCCTTGGTACTATTTAATTTTTAAAATCATGGCATATACTAATTTAGTAAAAATAAAAATATTTATCTTAGGGCTTCCCTGGTGGCGCAGTGGTTGAGAGTCCGCCTGCTGATGCAGGGGACACGGGTTCGTGCCCCGGTCTGGGAGGATCCCACATGCTGCGAAGCGGCTGGGCCTGTGAGCCATGGCCGCTGAGCCTGCGCATCTGGAGCCTATGCTCCGCAACGGAAGAGGCGACAACAGTGAGAGGTCCACGTACCGCACACACATACACACACACAAAAAATTTATCTTAAAAAAAAACACATGGAAAGCAGAGAGAATTGAAGACTTTCCTTAGTTTTCAAATTACAAAGCAATATGACACAAGGAAAAATGTAGAGACCATTACTGAGGGACAGACATGCATTTTTCCTGGCTATGATGAAGTTTCAATTGTGTGCAGTAATTTATGCCATGCTTTCATGGAGGCATCTTCTACTTCACCTGCAGTATTCCTTTGAGATGGAAGTCCAAGAATATGAAAGCTGATAACTCTCTCTTAAAATTTATGTCACTCATATTTGTGTTAATGTTTATTACTTGGAGGCTTTCTGGTCCAGGTAACTATTTTCTTGCATTATATTTAATCATTTTTACCCGCTTTATTTTTTAAACTCTGGCACAAACCATTTTACCCGCCAGTTTCTTTCAGTTTCATGTTATCATTTACCCAATAAAAGTGTTAAAATGTATCATAAATTTACAAAGAATCTGGCCAACTGTAGACAGGGAAAGAATTTTTTAAAAGAATAAACCTAAGAGGCCACACAGGATTGCTGTTTCTACAGCAGATAAAAAAATGACTAACATGAACATTAAGATATTAGCTGGGAGCCAATTTTATCATTTTAATTTCCGCTGTTGATGCAAGAGACCAGCTGAACAACAGCCAATAATAGTAAGTGTAATGGAAAACCATAAGACTTATCTGCACTGTAATTAAGAAAAGAATGAAGATAAAAGTCAGAGCTAATTATAAAACATATGGTATAACTTTACATTGCCATCTATTTGCCACTTCAGATAACATATTTTTCATTTATTCTCCTCCATGAGGAATTAGTCAATTAAACATTTCCCTCCTCACCCCAAAAAGATGCACGGAAAACTTTTTTGTCGCATTCAATGAAATGAACAGTTTCTTAGGCTGATTAATCCTTGGCAACATACAGAGAACATTTACAGAACCGACAGAGCAGATACTCCAAGTGCTAGGGCATAAGAGGGAAATGCTTGTCTTCTGCTGAGAAGGGTGGGAGAGGGACTATATTTAACATGTTTTTTTTGTTTTTTGTTTTTTTTTGAAGTACGCGGGCCTCTCACTATTGTGGCCTCTCCCGTTGCGGAGCACAGGCTCAGTGGCCATGGCTCACGGGCCCAGCCGCTCCGCAGCATGTGGGATCTTCCCGGACCGGGGCACTAACCCCGTGTCCCCTGCATGGGCAGGCGGACTCTCAACCACTGTGCCACCAGCGAAGCCCTATTTAACATGTTTTAATTAACAAAGGCGGATGTATTGGTCTTTCCTTAATCACCCTGAAGCTCATAAGTTGGGGATAAATATCAGGCTGGATTCTTTGGCATTTTTACTTACACATTTTAAATGGAAAACAAAAAAAATGTTTTTTCAAGATTTATTACTTGATGTGATTACCTCTTGGTGCTTTGAGTTTTTAGCACTCATAAGATAACCTATCCCTTGGATAAACTTAGATGAAATGCCTAAAAGCAAGGTAAAAATTTAATGATATAAAACTTGACCTTTTCCTTCTCTTATTCTAGAATGCAAATAATAATAATAACAATAACAACTTGTGGCACTGGGATAAAGGGTAATTTATCAGTCACTCTGGTGCAAAGTTCTGCATAAGGGCTTAATTTATAAATATTTTAATTTATAAAATATTTATAAATTAACTGTATGACATGTTAAGTTCTCCCAAGTAGAATTTCAAATTTTATTGCTGATTACTTCAGCAATATCCTCTGATGAAATGTGAAAAACATAACAATACATTAAAATTGGATAGACCCAAAAAGGCTTGAGGAAACATGTACTCAGTGCCATTTCTGTTCCTGAATTGAGAATTTCCTGCACTGCAACCAGTTGGAATTCATGACCCCCTGGAGGCTGCAGAATATTTTATTCTCACTCTTGTGTAGGCCATAGGATGGAGGCCTCTTAACTGAAAGTGCCTCTTCAGTTTCTCTTTAGAAGTCACTGTTTAATTCAAGCATCAAATATTAATTAAAACAACCAAGGAAAACGTTTCTTCACGATCAGAGCACTACACAGGCTCTCCAGTTCTTTAAATGGAAGGCACCAACGGCAGCTGTAGCTGTTTTGTTTTCTGTATTTAGCGTAGTAGGGGTTTTTTTCCAACACAAAAGACAAAAAAATGAGGGCAATAACTAAGATGCGGGTGGAACTGAAGACTGTGCCCAGACACGGGTCCATTTCTCCGAAAATAAATGTGTCTGCTTTATTTTCACATTTATCTCGAAGGCAGAGCCCACTGAAGCACAATTCAACTCTATTAATTTTATCGCTTAATTAAAATTCGGATTAAAAATGATGCTGGGTAAAACGAGGTGTAAAAATAAGCCCAAGAGCTTGTCCTGAGTCCTTTCCAAGTTCTTTGTTGTGGACCCCACCACCTTGCGCTGAGCACTCTGAGCCTGCCCCACCCAAAGAAACAAAACCACAGCTCCAGGCCAATAGTCCCCCACGGCCACCCCCACCGCCCAGTGTGTTCAGGGCCTCACCTCCAGCTCCTGCTCCCTCTGCAGGGCGAACTGTTTGAAGGACTTGACAATGAGACCAGCGTTGGAGCAGTCGTAGACGAATATGGAGGGGCTGCCCATCCATGTCTGCAGGTCATATATAGACAGGGGGATGTACTGAGTGTAGTTCTGGAAAAGAAAACAGTGCATGTTTGTGACTCACACCTGGCGAACTCTGCCTGCTCACCAGCACCTGCACCTCCAAGAGGGTCCCATGCATGGGGCCCGCTGCACAGAGCATTCCTGAGCTGCCATCTCTACCCACTGTGAACAGCAGCAAACTAACCTCCCCACCATCTGCCCACACGCTGTTTCATCAGGTAGAACCGGGCGGTGGCACAGTTCAATCCCGAGCTCCTCTCCTCCCCTGTTCAGCTCTCGCTGCCCCCTGGGAGCGCACACACTCCACTGAGGGATTTCCCTCCACGTGTCCCACAACGAGGCCTTCACACCTACCCTTCCTCTCCCACCCTCTTGCAGCCAAACCACAGCTTTCTCTTATAAATCCCAAGGCTACGCATGCTACTTCACACCATTCCTGCTCACCATTTACTCCGTAACTTCTCTGGGCTTATACAGCAGAACACGCTCCTCGATTATAAAGAAGATGAGCTCAGAAAAGTTGATCGGGTCCTCACATGTGCATGTTTTCCCTCTTGCCCCTTTAATTTCAGAGCTACCCATGAGCACTTTATCCTCTAGATGATTTAGATCACATTGAAGGAGTACAAATAGATTTGGCTCCATAATTTTTTTTCAAATCACAGAACAATAACATATTAGCATGAATCTGCAAAGTGAAATAGTTTTCTGGACACACTGTACTCTTCAGTACTTGAAAACACTCCAGCTATTACTGGTAAACATAGAGAGGGATGGTCCTCATCTCACCAGAGAAATGACTAAAATCCTCACTCAAAGGTAACATTTTTCTTTTTTTTTTTTTGCGGTACGCGGGCCTCTCACTGTTGTGGCCTCTCCCGTTGCGGAGCACAGGCTCCGGACGCGCAGGCTCAGCAGCCATGGCTCACGGGTCCCGCCGCTCTGCGGCATGTGGGATCTTCCCGGACCGGGGCACGAACCCGTGTCCCCTGCAACAGCAGGCGGACTCTCAACCACTGCACCACCAGGGAAGCCCCAAAGGTAACATTTTTAAGCAATTCTGCATAGAACGCCATCACTTATTTATCCTTCCTCAGGCACCAATAGTTTAAGTAGTGACACTGTAGCAGAAATCAATTCTGTGCACTTACAGTAAAGGTGACTGTGTTTCCTCAAAGCTAAGCCACAAACATTGCCTCTGGTATTGCCAAGAGGATTGTTTCTAATGCAAAGGGGAAAAGGAACAGAAGACAGAAAGACCAAACCAGGCCTGGAGAAGACTGTCATCAAGGTGGTGGCGGCAGAGGCCTTCTTGATATGCACACACGTCACCAGATGCAAGTCCCATCCCAGACGGGGAGGATGTGCCGACAGCACAGGTGTGGTGGGGCTGCAGACATCTCTACCACGAGGGGACCACCCTCTGCTTACGCTGTGCCATTTCACCTTGCTAAACTGCCATCACCTGGTGTCTTGTTCTTCGTCACTGCACGAGTAAGAGAACACTTGGATATGCTCTAAGTAAACTCTCACAGAAGGATTCTAAAGACGGCAGTTCTTCCCTAATGAATCTATAAAGGCAGTGCCCAATCAAAATACCATCAGGGGTTTCCTTAATGGAATCTGACAAGCTGATTCTAAAGTTAATGCTGAAGAGAAAGGTGTAAGAATAGCACAACACAAAAAAAATTGTAAAGGAGGAATAATGAGTGAGGACTCACGCTAGCAGATATTAAATACACTACAAATCTATGGTAATTACAGGATGGTACTGGGGAAGGCGAGACAAACAAATCAACAGGAGGGAAAGCCCAGAAACAGAGCCACATATATAACTGTAATGAAGGTGGCATTTTAACTCAGCGAAGAAAGAATGAACAATTCAACAAGTGATACTTGTAAAATCCAACTAACCATTCAATATTGCCATCTGAGATTCCACACACAATCAGGACAGATTTTAAAAATAAATACAAAAGCAGAATAAAAGATTTAAAAATTTATTTTGGTGTAAGAAAGACCTTCTTAAACATATAGAACCTAGAAACGTTAAAGAAAAATAGAGCAATGTAAAAATTATATAATTCTGATAAAAACACATACCTGTGACAAGCAATTTAAGAATAAAGTAGGTACAACATATGTGACATAGGCTTTATATTTAGAATGTGTGTGTGTATATAAGCTTCTGCTGCAGATCAACAAAGACAAAACAACAAAAACGATATACAATAGGCAAAAGCTTCACACAGGCAATTCACGGAAGAAACATGAATGATCAACAACTATGAAAGTTTCACGCTCTCGATTAATCATGGAAATGCAAATTACAATGAGAATCATCCATCTACCTATCTCCATCCAGCAAACTGGAAAGAAGTTTTAAGTGTGAATAATACCCCATGCTGACCACAATGTTCAACAGGGTGCTGGCTTATCGTCGGTGCGAGTATAAATTGAGGAAGCTATTTTTGGAAGGCAATTGGGTGGTTCTTAAAATTTTTACTGTATATACCTTTGACTTCTAGGTGTCCATCCTATAGAAATACTTGCATTTGTATACAGAAATGTACATACAAGGATGTATAATACTTTCACTGGTAAAAACCTGTAAGCTGTCTACATGCTACTGTGGAAAAGACTGCCAGTCTAACATCTATTTTTCCCCTCTTCATCCTCAATGCAAGTTTAGCTGAACACAGTTCCCAGTTTCCTTTGCAGCTAAGTCTGATCTTGCAGCCCAATTCTGGCCAATGGGACATGATCAGAAATGTGTCTAAATTATAAGTGCCGCCCTCTTTCCCTTCCCGGGAGGAGTGAACATGGCAGAAGACATAAGCAGGGGGACAACAGAGCTGTGTGATAGAAGGGGCCTGGGCCCCATGTCATGACGATGCCACAGCAGTCCCAGACGGCCCACAGGGACTATCACAACCAATCTTGGATCCTAATATATCCAATATGAAGGGATCATTAAGCAAAGGGGGCCCATACACCCACGTTATGAAACACCATGCAAGGTTATTTATATGCACTGACATGGAGAGATGTCAGAGGCTTGTCATGATTTTAAAAATGCAAGTCTTAGAATCTCACATATAATATCCTGTTTTGTGTGTAAAGCACCACATGCCCAGCACTTAAGCTGAATGAAATGAGGACTCAGCAGAAACGTGCTGAGTGAAAGGTCCTATAAATGGTGCTGAAAGAAGAACACAGGACTGCTAAGGACTGCTGTCTCTGACTGGGGAGGTGACAGGGGTGTGGGGTGGTAAGAAAGTGTCATATCTATTTCTTTTAAAACTTCTGTTCTCTTGGAACCTTTTAGAATAGAAATTACTTGTATTTTTTTAAAAGACAAAATGCACACAACTATTAAAAGGAGGAAGGAAAAGGGTAAGCCCCAGGGTTCACTATAACGTACTTTACGTTCGGTCAGTGTTTCATAATGAGCAGGCATTACATGTTATCTGCACAAGTAAAAAGGCTTCAGCACATGCTGCATTGGACAGAGCAGGACACAAGTCAGCGCCTCCCTGGGCCCAGCAGGGAAGAGCACTCCTCTCCGGCCCTCTGCCCAGCAGCATCCCTCCCCTTGTTCACCTGCAGCCCCCACTGCTGTGGGGGAGAAAAGGGCCAAAAGGAACCCTTTAATTGGGCAGGGACACCCTTACACTGAGAGGAGAAAGGATTTTAGCACCAGCCTGGGAAATCATCACATTTTTATATGCCAGCCACACTCTGCTGTTTATCTGCTTCCCACAAGGTTCTAGCTCAGTGAGGAGCGGCCGAATATGGCTGGGGCAGTTCTGACCCCATTCCTGCCACCACGTCATCCAAGTGACTGCTGGAAAAGGGCGATGCTGTCATCTTTGCTGCCTTCTAGGTACAGCCCCAGAAGGCCCCAAAGGCAGCAAAGCAGCACGCAATAAAATATATTTTAACTGTGTTTTGAGGTCTGGCCTTTTGAACTAAAATGTAATTTTTATATTTCCCCCAAATCAAAAGTTACTTTCTAAATTTCTGAGATACAAAGGTAATTAATGGTGACTCATTAAAATAATAAAGCACTAATCCATCAGGAAACTCGTTAACGGTTTTCCCTTTCATTCCCTGTGCCACTGGCTGCCACGGAAATGGTTCAAGTGGAGTTGTCAGCCACCCAGTCCCACTGGAGGGCAGAAGCACCTCCATTTTCTAATGCTTGTCCAAGGGGCAGCATACAAGGAGCTTTCGGAATTGGTCTTTAGCCTCATGATTTTTAGTTGTGAGAGAGTCTGGCACCTTATACCGTCCACAGGGATGCTCAGCCACAGAAAATGGCTTGGACCCACACCTCCACACAGATGGGCTGCATGGTGGGTGGCAGCCTCTGAGCAGCAAGGGCCTCTGTGGCTGAAGTGGAGACACCCCCAGCACTGTGGACGTTTGAGGCTGGTCAGTCAGTGTGGGGCTCATCCCGGGCACTGCATCAGGCTTGGCAGCAGCCCTGCCAACAGCACTTCCCCCTCTCTGCCCAGTTGTGACAACCAAAAAGGTCTCTGGACACTGCCAAATGCACCCTGAGGGGGAACCTCCCCTGGTAAGAATCAAAGCCTTTGAGGAGAGATGATTTCATTTAAAGCAGTAGCTGTATATCTGTAGTTTAGTAAGCCTGTGAAACTTGGAAGTCTGTTTTCCTTAGGGATACAAAATCAACTCTATTAAACCATATGGAGGAAAATGGCCTTTGAGAACGAATCCTTATTGGAACATGAGCAGGTGGATCTCATTTCCCATCTCAGAAGGATCCTGGGGAGTTTGTCAAGCTTCGGGCCAGAATCACGGTCCGGCAAACCTGCAAAGGGAGGCCTGCAGGATGACAGCCCTGGTGTTGCAGCGAGTGAACAGGAGAACAGAAACAACACCTGAAGTGCAACTGTTTCCACCCCGTGCAATTATCCCTGTGTCTTCTAGGCTGAACCAACCTACACAAGCTGGAGAAGTCGAAGTCCCCCACGCACTGAAGGCTCCCAGAAACACTCCAC